ATTGCCGCTCATAAACCACAATTTAATGGGATACCCAGTCTCCTGGACTGCGTAGCCCCCTTTTTTTGGCCTTATGGCAATTGTGCACTTGATTGTTAGCGGCTTGTTGGGCAGCCAACAGGGCGGATCATCCCAGACCGCAATCCCCATACCGCCTGCCATATGGCCAACAATATGGTTGTTGGCTGTTGTCGGTTGTTCGCCGCTGGTTGTTGGCCAATTGTTGTGATTGTTGGCAATGCAAAATGCCAGGCATTCGGATGCACTGGCGCGTAATCCGCAGCCGGCAATCGAGAGAACGACTTGAGAATTCACTTGACTCGAAATGAAAGAATCTGAAAAGAGCACAGCGAAACAAATAAAAATAATATAAAGGTGGGCCCCCCATGGCAAAAAAAAACGGGAACGGTAGGAAAAAAATAAACAATAATCGCTTACAACACAAAAGCAACAATATATGTTGGATTTTATTGTGTATCCCAAAGATGAGCTAATTTAAAGTTAAGATTACTTTTTTTTTGGAATGTATTTTAGATCTATTTATATTTCATAAAATTGCACTTGTTTCTAGACTTTTTAACCCACATTCTTGCCATTTTAAGCCTTCATTTATACAAATAAATTGATTTTAAAATAAAGCAATAAAAAACTATAAATATCCAAGAAATCACTAATATACATGAACCATACGATAATATTTTAATTCAAAATATTTAGAAACACATGCCAAAATTCTAAAAATTGTATGAAGCTTTTTTTTTGATTGAGCCCAAAACTAGGCTGTGGTATGTTTTGAAAAACGAAAGTCCGAAAGCAATAATGCAAAGCATACTTTTAGACACCTTAGATATTGAATTTTACTACATATCACACATAATTTTTTTTTAACCCCCTTTTATGTTGAATTATTGGCCTTAAAAGGCTGTGTTTTGTGATGCATTCGATTTGTATTAAACCAAGCTGAATAACTAAATTTGCGACTGGCATTTCGCCTGTCTGCCGTTGGTAATTGTATTAACTACACATGTGCTGGAATATCGGGAGTGTGGAGCATCAGCTGCCACAACTAATTAGCCGGGACCCACATGCATAGGCAAACTGCGTTAATGGAGTGCGTAATGGGTTAATTTTGGCCTGGCAATTCCGCAACACCCACTCTTTTTGCGAAACACCCACACTCCTTCACTCGTTAGCCGTCTGTCAATGTTTGCACTTTTGTTTAGCAAGGACAGGAGGTGGTGGGTGGTGGGTTAGTTGTGGGCGGTGGGTGGTGTGATGGGTGGTGTGATTCTCCAGTGAAACGTGGAACGTGTCGACGTCACAGTCAGCGGGAAAACCAAAAGTCGGATTCAGATTCTCATTCAGCGACGAAGTCACCGCGTTGACGACAAGTTAATCACATCGTGTCCAATCAGGCGAGCTAATCCCTCTGACAGGCTTCGACATCCACATCCACATTCTCTGACTCTGAGAATCTGACTCCGAATCCAAAGCTGCTCTTTATTTTGATATTTTCCTAAACATACATACACTACCCATCAAGAGGGTAAAGTAGATTTACATATCTTCTTGTAAGATATAAGATCATAACTTCATATCAATATTTCCCGAAATCAAGACAGCCAAATATTTAAGACTATTTATAAGGTATTAATACCTATATTCAAATCTTTAATTTCGAGCGTGAAATATACAAATAAACGGGGGTGCGTCACAAATCACTAAGGTACACTTTAGAATGTCTTTTTGTCTGTGCCTAAAAGTATGCAACAATATATTTTACGCTCAGAACTACAATGAAACGCGACTATTTTTTTTCGCTGCATATTTTTGGGCACCTAAAATAACTTTCAAAAGAAATTTCCAAATGCTATTGATTTTTGATATGAGAAACAGTATTAAAATATAAATTCCTAATTTTTCCCTTAGGATAGCGTATTCAAACTTCTTGGTGGCTTGCCATAAACTTTCCCTGGGCTCTGATTATTATTACTATTATGGATGTAAACCTGGCAACATCTGCTGCATATCAATTTGTTGGCTCCGACTTGGAACGCTTAAACTGATCCATGTCAGGTCGCCAGGACCTAAGACCACAGGAAAAGTTTTTTTTTTTTTTTATTTTGGGTTATTGGACTTAGGCGGCTAAGTCCGTTCCGGACATTGGCAATTTGCATTTCCCGATTCAACATCATCGACATTTCCTAGTGGCCAATTATCGCTTAAGCTCTCTGTTCTGCTTCTGTTTTGGATTTTTTTTTTTTTTTGGATTTCGGATGGCTTTAAAATTGAGATGGGCATGGAAAATCGGTGGGGGTGGTGTTGGGCGACTTGGCCTGTTTAAAAATTCGTTTAAATTCCATTGCCGAAAGTGGCTTGTCCCTTGTTGGCAAAGTCAAAAGCAAAGTGGAGAGAAGTAAAGGCTGGGAAAATATGCAGCAACCGCGAAATTGAAATTTTGGCTTCGCCTGCCGCGGCGGCTTCTTGGCATTGTTGGGAAAAATCGGCGTTGGGATGGGTGCTCACCACCTGATCCTAAGTAAATACCAGGACAAGGCGGGCGGCAGCCAAAAAGGACACCCAGATATCCATGCATGTGACTGGATATTTATATTCCCTTTTCCTGCTTTTTTTTTTTTTTTTTTTTTGATATTATGCCTCGCGAGTTGGCTTTTCTTTTTAATTAAATGAAACCAGAGGAATTGACCCAAAACGCAGAATAAATAAATATTTACGGAAGGGATGAGGGCTTTTTCGCCTCATCCTCCTCTTGAGCATCTGTTGTTCCATGTTTTCCCGCTTGTTTTTGTTAATAATTATTTCACTTTTTTCGGTCGAAGGAGGTGGAAAGAATTCAAAAGATGCCGCATAGCCATTGTTTACTGTGGAAACAAAACCGAAACACAGGGCACAACAATCATGTACGAAAGAAAAAACAACAATAAATATTTCACCTTCAATAAATCATTTTCCATTTCGCTGTTGGGCAGCAAATCCCCTTTACACCTTTGCCTCCAACGAAAAAAAAGGGTTTCTTGTCAACCCCAAGAGTTTCCCCTTTTTGTACCCCAAAATTCAACAAATTTAAATCGAAAATATGTTTAAATAAAATGAAAATGTCTTAAAATCATAAAGCTTTTTAGGTACAATTTTAAACACTGGTTGTGGGTCAAGTGAATAGATGGTTTAGGTGCAAATAAATTAAGAGGTGATCACATTTTCAGAAAAGCCCATTGCATTTCCCTAAGAAATTGTAATACATTTTAATTTTAATAAAATCAAGAACTTGTAAAACCAGATACGCATTTAATATAAACAAAACAAGATTTGACAGCAAGTATGAATATTACCATTTTACACATATGAGGTTTTGAGCAAAACAATTTATGGACCGGTTTAAGGTACTTTTTAAAGAAAACCTAGCCGACTAACCGGTCAGCTACCAGTTTTGTTGTGGGTCAAAAAGTGAGCATTTATGATTTATATTTGGGCTGGACAAGGGATATGAATTAAGTCCTTGAGTCAACGCCAGTCACCACTGCCCATCTTCATATGCAACCAGATATATACATAGTTACTTGGTAACACATATCAATTTGGTTTGACTTGTTTGTTTGTTTGCTTGCCGGCTGATAAATTGGCACTCAAGTGGATTAAAATTGTTTGCAGCTAAATAAATCTGTGTGCCCGGTCTGGACATTTGTCAGGATGGAAAAATAAAAAGGTGGTTTCGGGGTGGTGCAGCATGTCATGTCTGCTTCGCATATTAGTTTCAAAAAAAAAAAAAGGTAAGTTCAAGTCAGGTTATGAATTAAAAAAGGGCCTGCTTTCGAAAGGAAAGTTGTGTGCCATGCCGAGCTCTATTAGAAATTCCCCAGTTGTGTAATTTTTTACCTCATCAGCGGCTCTCTCTCCGTGGTAACTTCAAAGGGTCCTATTAGCTCGACGGCATTTTTCGGCATGCAAAGGCATTTTTTAAGTGCGCTTCTTCATCTCACATCGCATTTCATCTCGGGTCAGTTCATCTCCCCGCCGCATTTTTATTCTGCTTTAACAACTTTCAAGTTTCGGGTTTTATTTTGTATTTCTATAAATACCTTCATTCGGTGGGCTCGACTCACCATCACATACTTCTCATGCTCATAAATATGCCCAGATGAATTCGTAAAAATGTAAATTTGCAGATTTCTTAATCGTTGGTGCTCTCGCTTTATGAGGTTTTACTACACTCAAAAATATCAGATAATCTATATGCTTTAGATTATAAATTGATTTGAGTGAGAGTATTTGCAAAGGGTACTATGATTTAAATTATAAGTTTGCAACGAAGTGAAGGAGACCTTTCCCGACCCTGTAAACTATATATATAGCTGACATAGGAACGATCGGAAAAATAAATCTTCGATGTTTCTGATCAAATTCTATCATGAGGTACAGAATAATTTTGAGATTTCAGAATTTTTTAAAGAAAAAACCGAATAATTGCTTTTTATAGTTTAAAGAGCAGGTGTATATAAACTTCGGCTTGCCGAATTTAGCTTCCTTTCATTTTTGTGATAAGAACTCACTTACATTCCAATAAATTTGGATATATAATTTTCTAAGATTTAATCAAAATTCAATTTTTCTGAGTGCTTACAAATTCTTATGGTTGTTTTGAACCATTAGACCGATCCAAGGCCAAAGCTAGGATCGTTATAACGCCATTTCAAACTAGGGGAGTTGTAGTATCGTTCGCGTGTTCCCCACTTAATATGCAATGTCATTCACAGACCAACGATAACCACATTAAATCATTAAGACGCAAACACTGGGATCAGATGAATAAAGATAGATATAAAAAATAAATAAACATTAATCACCAAAATATGACATGGCAATTGAGAAAAACCCAATTGTTATTAAACACCAAAAAAACTTCACAAAAATATACTTATTAATAAAACTTTAAATTGCAATTGAAAATGATTGCATAATTATTTATATAAATAGGTACTTACATGTTCCATCATTTTAAAACATGGGTAAATATTTTCATATAAAGATGTCTCCATTTCATCAAATTTTAAAGCATTATACCAACGGTTGGCAGTGTTCCATTAAACGGGCATAGGAAATAGGTCTGCTCAGCCTCTGTCAACACACGTACGTCGTAGGACAGCAGTTGTCACACACATATCGGTAAGCCGCATACAATGTTAAATTTTAATTAAATGTTATTGCATTCCGTGCCGATCGCTGCATAATACTAATAAATTTATACATCCATCAGTTCGATAAGGTTTGACAACCTGTCAATAAACAGTTTAAATAATATCATTAGAATAGATGATTGATTAGAATTTAGCACTACCCACTAAGTGATCTCTTTCAACATTGTATTTACTTTGTAGAAATTCACCAGCGGGTAATGAATGCATGATCATAAATTAAAAAACAGTGCGAAATTGACTGAATGACACAACTCCAACCACGGTTTTAGGCTTGATTTTACCAAATTTGCGCAGTGTTCCAAAACGAAACTTAGACATCAGAAATTGATGTCGATGCTTGATGTGGGGCTGATGCCGATGTTGATGCTGATTACGCTGCTAAGTGGCAAAAAACCTTTCGATGCGTGCACCTCGGCATTTGCATACCCTGTCATATGTAATGTTATTTCCAATAATTAAGAAAAAAAGTTATCATTAAACTTATACCAAAACATTTTAAGGACAAATAATAAGTATACTTTTTAAAATGTATATCAAAGAAAGCGATTTGTTTTGCCAAGAAATCCTCATCATTGGATTTGAAAACATAGATATTTAAACGAAAACCGGCAAAGACGGTACATTAGGTTTTCGAACTGCTTACCATATTTAAAATACTCCGTTAAGGCTATCAAAAATAGTCAAAATTAATGAGCTAAGTAAACAAGTTCGCTAAACAAGTTCGCTTCGGAAGCTGGCCAGCTGAGATTGCTGGCTATATGATGATGGTGTAATCTTAAAACTACTGCAGCAGCGAAATCAGTCTGAAGTCGAACTTCAAGCGCGGGGATACGATGACAAGAAACGCTGGCCTCTGGTGGATTGGTCGGGTGATTCTGCTGTTTATCTGGGTCCAGTGGACCGATGGACGCAACTCGCAGAGTCTGCATGTGCGTTTGTCCCACGGCGGCTGGTTGATTGGACGCCATTTGACCACCCACAATGGTCGGCACATGCGGGCATTCATGGGTGTCCCATATGCAGAGCCACCACTCGGGGATCTACGTTTCCGTGCGCCCGTCGCAAAGGGTTTCTGGGAGGGCGAACGTTTGGCCATCAAGGATGCACCCATCTGCCTGCAGCGGGATCCCTTCCGACGCGACATGATCATCGAGGGTTCCGAGGATTGTCTATATATAAATGTTTACACGCCGGAAAGGCCCAGGATTAATGGCTCCTTACCCGTGATGGTATGGTTCCATGGCGGCGGGTGGCAGTGTGGCTCCGGTATTAGCAGCTTTTATGGTCCGGACTTTCTTCTGGATCACGACATCGTCCTGATTTCGGCCAACTTCCGATTGGGACCCTTGGGTTTCCTTAGCACGGAGACGCTCGATTGTCCCGGTAACAATGGCTTGAAGGATCAACTGGAGGTCCTGCGGTGGGTTCGTGAGAATATCGCATCCTTTGGCGGTGATCCAAATAGTGTTACAGTCTTTGGCGAGAGCGCTGGAGGCGCCAGTGTTACCTATCACATGCTGTCGGAGAAGTCACGCGGCTTACTGCATCGTGGCATCGCCCAATCCGGCACTTATTTCAATCCCTGGGCGCAGCCTGCTCATAAAGGTGTGGCCGCTGGAAGGGCCACCAAGTTGGCAGAGTTGGTGGGCTGCGGATCCGCCGGCGAATGGCCGGAAAAATTGGAGTGTCTGCGCCAGAAGCCAGCCGAGGACATCGTGGCCTCCCTATACGACATGTTTGTAAGTTGTCCCTCTTTGTAATGATTGGCTTTTATCTGCAAGGTAAAAAGTATTTAGAAATCAAAAAGATTTTTTTTTTTTTCAATTCATAAAACCTTTTTTTAAATGTGTCCGATTTTTGGATGACACATCAAGCTTTAAGTTTTTACCCATTTGAATATGAGTTTCATTAGTAACAAAAGTCACCATAATTCAATGATTATTACCAATACTTTTGTTAAATCTAACAACTAATGTGTGCCAAAAGCTGAACTTTCGTGCGCTTTGTGCTAACATTTTACGTGATATTGACCAAGGGAGAGTAAAATGGAACTGTTTAAGTTGTTATTAAACAAATTAGGTGAAGGGAAAACCGAAGCATGACATCGAACTTCTGTATTTTTGCAGGTCTGGGACTTTGACCCGATGATACCTTTTCCACCAGTGATCGAACCGGAACACGAAGATGCCTTTCTAACTGTGCCACCTCGCCAGGCGCTAAAGCCTCATGGACTGGCACTGCCACTCCTTGTGGGCGCCACCGCCGAAGAGGGTCTGTTGAAGACGGCCGCCCTGATCAATCTTCCCCATCTATTGGACGAGTTCAAGTCCCAGTTTGACCAGGTCCTGCCCGTTGTTCTAAACTACGATCACCACGAGGATTCCGTTCGGCAGATGATAACGCAGCGCATCGAAAGCTTCTACTTCAAGGCGGGCCATGATTACGATAAAGTCAATCACCAGAATCTGACCGATGTAAGTGAGATGTATTAAAATTATGGAAAAATAGCCTTAAATTTAACCCATGATTATGTACATTTTAATTTTAGCTAATTTCGGATGGATGGTTTGTGGCCGGAATTGATGAGTACTTACGCCTTCGGGTGTCCCAAGAGGGCGTGGCCCCCACATATGTCTATCTGTTCGATCACAAGGGGGCCGCCAGCTTTACGGAGATTTTCAAGGGCGGCCGGAATGAGTTCTACGGCACGTGTCATGCGGAGGAGCTCCAGTATTTGTTCCCCATTGGACGGGAGCTTTTTGTCAGTGCTGTTCCGACCCAGAAAGATCTGGAACTCCGCGAACTGATGCTCCATTTGTGGGTTAGCTTTGCGGAAACTGGGTAGGTTTCAATATAAAATACCTGTTTTTAGGACCGCAACTTATGGTAGTTCTCCTCCTCATAGCAATCCAAATCCCAAGAATTCCAGCTTCCATTTGCCCAACTGGAGCCCCGCGTCCAGTTATCCAGTGGAATATGCACGCTTGGGCACCAAAATCGAGGATTCCACATCCATTTTCCAACTGGAAAATGAGCTAATGCAACAGCGGGCCGATTTTTGGCGGGATTTGCAGCCCCATTTGCCCGCCACCCACGCCCACAACGAGCTTTAGTCCTTACCAAGTCTTTATCCAAATGTATTCCATATTCCATTTCATTAAACCGACGCTTAGATCGTTCACCACAATATTTTCACAAGCCACAAGTTCTTTTACCTTTTCCTTTTTGCTTTGGAATTTTACCGCCAAGCATAACGGGGCTACAAAACTGCCAGACTTCTAAAAGCACTGGGGCTGCCAGAGTGCTGGATGTAAGAATCTAGCTTTTTTTAGGGGATGCCAATAATTCCTAACAGTGAATATTGATATTTTAAGATTAATAAAAAACCATTAAGAAACAACAATGTCATGGAATATTTTAAACGTTATAAATAGAACTTATTAAAGACATTGACAATTGAAAGTTGGAAAGGTTTAAATAGTGTTATTTATTAAATACACTCAACAAATGTTTGCCCAGGATTTTGGATATTTTTAGCCAGTGAAGATTTATTTTCAATTTTACAAAACATTTAATTAATTGGTTAAATTTACCTTATTTGACAAACAATTGTATATATCAGTAGATAATTTTTCTAGTTTATAAAATCACGAGGTATATTTGAGCGACTTGGCGCTAAAGTATTCTGTGGCAATCCTGATAAACTTGCAGTTAAAAATGTATCAAATATCCTTAAAATTGTATACTCGGGTTTCTATTTTATTGGTCCAAAAATCCGTAAGACATACAATAATTAAGTTTTATTAGTTTTATTTGTTTAGCAGATGTTAGCTTTTTTCTAGCTTTTTCCATGTATCGATATCCGTTGATCTGGTAACGCCCAATATTACCAAATCGTTAGAAAACCCTTAGAAAGTGTAAGCAAATCAATACAGAAAACAGGGAGATTAGTTCTATAAATAGAAAAGTAGTGAAGGACAAATATATATGATATTTATTGTGTTATAATAAACAGTGAATCAATTTGGGACTCACTACTCAAATTTAAATAAAAGTAACAGTGACAATTTGAAATAAAACGCGAACGAACACGTCTATCGATAGTCGCCCAGCTGATGCGTATTTATTTATGGTCAAAATATAGTTATCAGCGGAATTTCGTTTGAATTTCATTAGATTAGTCATGTACGTCGTGGGCCAGAGTCTTGTGTGGTTATCTATATAAACGATTGCGCCGTCGTGCTTTTGACTTTCCGTTTTAATTTCCTTTCCGAAAGAACTAGGGGACCACGTGCTTATCGTAGCACCCCGCGAATTATTATTCTAGTATTGGGATTCGATCCGGATTTAACCGATAACGAGTTGCCCAAATAAAAATCAAAGGCACGGGTTGTTAATGGATTTTCTATTTACGCCCCGAAGCGAAGCCAACTAAAAATCTAGCGATAAGGCGAACTCGCAACCGGTGCTCCCTAGTCCATATACCGAATTCCGTACTTATTTGTTACTATCAAGTGAGCCATGGCCGAGAACGGAATGGAGATACCCACCCTGAAGACCAATGGTCAGGAGAGACTAGCCTCGCTGGACAAGAGTATGCCCCCGGCATCACCCACTCTGCCGAGTCCCACCATCCGGCGGAACAAAAGTGACGGGAAGCTGATGGCCCAGGATGTGAAGGAAGCCCGAGTAAAGGTCATTTATACGGGCGGAACCATCGGGATGGTGCGCAACGAACGGAATGGTAAACACCCTACAAATATCCTAACTATGGGGATTTTATAAGTCTTAAATATATTTTGATAGGGTATAAATCATAAGTACGTACTTATTTTAACAATATTGAAATTCATCATAATTTATTTACTTGATTTGATTTTTTTACTAAAACATATATTTGTAATTTGTGCTCTTTAAATTTGTATTGTTCAATATCACTCACTTCAAAAATTAATTTGAAAACTAGATATATTCAAAAAGTTAAAACAAAAAGGAAAAACAAATCCGGAAAGCACAATCTAACTAGATAGCATATAATATCTTATGATGTATTGTATTTTTATAACCAAGAGACAGGAGCCTCCCAAAATATAGCCAGATAAGATAATGACATAATATTTTTGCCATGCACCTAAAGAATAGTTTGATCGACTACAGAATGACAGGTTATATTTGTTGGCAGATAACAAAAAAATAAAGATAGTTTATTGTACGCAGCTAGGTTTATTTGCACTCAAGTATCACACCTAGATATTTCCCAACGCATTTACAGGTTTTATTTACATGTAGGCAAGTTATATGTAATCAACAGATTGCTGCTTGTTGATGTTTACAAATATTGAATTATATTATTTATTTGTTGGGCATTACGTATTCTAATCGGGGTTCCGAAAAAACAAACATTGAATACACGAAGCGTGAAAATCAATCATTTTAACACTGACTAATAGACTAATTAGCGATAAGGTCTAGTTTAAATAATATTGATTGACATGTAAAGTGTGGATCCTTATTATATGTTTGAAAAGGAAAGCTTTTATTATACAAAAGCTGAAAAAGTAATGAGGTTTCTTTTTTATATCAAAAAGGTTAAGGTAATATGTGTTAGGCTTAGATTATATTTACTAGGAAATCCAATAGTTGTGAAGAAAAAAAGTTATTTTCTTTGTTAAGAATTCCTTGACAGAAAGTCATGGAGTCATAAAACTGACACATGTTTTTTCTCACATGTTTTATGTATTGAAATTGCTGAAGGTCGCACGTTCCTAACAAAGTCCCTAAGAATGTCACCTATTACGTTTTAATGACAAGATAAAAATGTATGAAAGTGCTGATATTAAAGGGAATATCTTTAAAAGAGAGATGTGAGATTTTGATAGGTAATTTAAGGCTTTAAATTGTACATTAATGTATCTTTAACAATATTTTGTTTACCATAGTGCTGGCTCCCATTCCTAATGCCCTGGTGCGAAGTATTCGAAAATATCCCAACATTCACGACGAGGACTACGCTTTGCGTCGCTTTGGAGCATCTGCATCGATGGCTCCGCTAGTTCTGCCCTTCGTTCAGGGCGTGGATCGTAGGATTATCTACCAGATCACGGAATATACACCACTGCTGGACAGCAGCAATATGACTATGAACGATTGGGCCAGAATAGCCAGCGATATTCAGGTACTTTATAGATTTTTAATAAATCCCTTTCCTACAAATAATAATTTTTTTATTTTGCAGCAATCCTACGAGTTCTTCGATGGCTTTGTGGTGCTCCATGGCACCGACACACTTTCCTACACAGCCTCCGCATTGTCCTTCATGCTGGAGAACCTGGGCAAGACGGTGATCATCACCGGCTCCCAAATCCCGATCTTCGAGACGCGAACCGATGGCAAGGACAATTTTACCTCAGCATTGATTATAGCCGGGACCTATGTCATTCCGGAGGTTTGCATCTTCTTTGGGAATAAGTTAATGCGCGGCAATCGGACGGTGAAGGTCAGTTCGAATGCCCTGGATGCCTTCGATTCACCGAATGTGCCACCGCTGGCGAGGATCGGCATCGATGTGAATGTGGACTATCGCCTGATCTTCCGGCCGTGCAGTATTGAAAGGTTCAGCGTCCACTTAAATCTCGATGAGAATGTGGGTTTGTTGCGACTCTTTCCCAGCATTTCGCACTCCACATTTCGGGCATTCCTGGCGCCGCCAATTCGAGGTGTTGTCCTGCAATCGTTTGGATCTGGTAATATCCCATCGAACCGAAAGGATCTGATCGATGAACTGCGGGCGGCCTCCGAGAGGGGCGTCATCATCATCAATTGTACTCAGTGTCCCAATGGAACAGTGGCGGAGATTTATGATACGGGCAAGGTACTCTGCGATGTCGGCGTTATTCCTGGCTACGATATGACGCCCGAGGCGGCGCTATCCAAGCTGGCCTATGTAATCGGCAAGGAGGAGTGGTCACTGGAGGTCAAAAAGCAGGTAAATTGTGGTAATTTATATACGTGTTATATATATATAAATATGATTTATTTTCTCAGATGATGGAGTCAAACTTGAGGGGCGAACTGACTTCCCTGAAGGCTACGAAGATGGAGGACTACGACCTGGTGGATGCGGTGGCCAGATCCCTGCATTTGTCCTCGCCGCAGGAACTGGATCAGCTGGGCGAAACCCTCTTTCCGGCGATGATAAATGCCGCTGTGGCCGAGGGCGATCCCAAGAAGATCAACACTCTGAAGGCCTATGGCGCCGATTTATCGGGAACGAATCATGACCAGCGGACTGCCTTGCACTTGGCCTGTCAGCTGGGCAACGTGGAGATCGTGAAGTACCTTCTACAGAATGGGGTGTCCGTGCATGTGAGGGACCGCTATGATCGCACTCCGCTGTTGGAGGCCGTGTCAACCGATAGCCACGAGATTATCCAGCTGCTCATCAATTGTGGTGCCCACTTGACCGGATCATCGAGAGCGGTTGGCGAGCAACTATGCGCGGCAGCTGCCCGAGGATCGATGGTCAGGCTGAAGTCCTATCAATATGCCGGTGCCGATCTCGCCCAGACGGATCCTTCGGGCAGATCGGCTTTGCATGTGGCAGCGCTGCATGGTTTCCTGGAGGTGGTGCAATATGTTCTGCCCTATTTCGAGAATCCCAACGAGAAGGACATGTTGGGTCTGACAGCCTTGGATTACGCAGAGCGCGGTGGACATGCAGCGGTTATAGAGGCTCTAAAAAATTAGAGAATTGCTCAGGAATTTCTCGTAGAAATCTCTTCCGAATCATAACTCAAATTGTTCCTTAGCGCATAGAAAATTATTTTAAACTAATGGATTTTTTTGTCCCACATTTTAAAACTAAAATCTCTAGAGGCTTTTGTGACACCCCAAGTCTCGATATTCAGTACTTAAGTGTTGCATCTAGTCTAATGGTTGCTTATTATCTATTTTGTATAGCTCAGATATTGTATTGTATGTTTAACAAATCGTGGTTACAAGTTCTTTTGTCTATGTCAAAATGGTATCCCTCACTTGACCTAGTTTTTAGTAGTCTTATTTTATGTATGAATTCACTAAATCCAATGTTATTAATTGTAAAACCATTTCTTTATTCCCAATAACGCCACATTGTTAAAGAATAATTTAATAAGTCCATAAACGAACATCGAGAAATTGTATATAATATATAAATATAT